ACTGGTTTGCATAGTGACTCATCCTGTTTTGCTGGGTCGTGGTCCCCACGACAGCCAGTGGGGGTTCCCCCAGAGCCAGCAGCATAGAAACCAGCCAGGTACCCCCACTATGTGTGGACAAGTAAGTGAAGGAGGAGGACCTGCAATCTGAATAAGGCAGATCATCAGAGCCGCAAACCCCCATGGGTCTGCGTTTGGTGTTTCAAAGCTGAAAGCTGGGCGGAATGGTTGGGTTCCTGCTTCCCTTTGATCGTCGCCCCGACGCTCAGGGCTGCTTGGCGGCAAGGTTCACACACCCGTCTCCAGATGAGGGGGTGACAAACGGCGACAGAACAAAGGGCAGAGGGAGAGTGGGGAACAGCAAGAGCAGAGTGATCATGGAAGAGCATTCAGGATAATCAAGTCAAACAATTCAGGGCTTCATCATGCAAACATGTACGGCTGCGTGTAGCCCCACTGAACTGAACACAACTGCACATGGGACCAAGGAAAGTGGCAGGAAGTGTTTGCACAATTAGGCCTTCTCTCTCTCTCTCTCTCTCTCTGTCTCCCTTCCCTCCCCCCATATCTATCTATCTATCTATCTATCTATCTATCTATCTATCTATCTATCTATCTATCTATCCCCACGCATACCCCCATTGATCTATCTATCGATCCCTCCAAATGTATGTGTCTATTATGTTAAAAATACTTTATTTTTATGGGCCCAATTCTGGAACCCTGGCTCATTCTGAGATGTTTGCCCTGAGCTCTGCTGGAATGACCAGTGGCTGCAGAATCGGGCCCGGTTCTGGGGCGTGGGGAGCTGCAGATCTGTGAGTAGGACAGGAAGGGAGCTGACAGCTGGGGCTTGCGGGGGGGATGGAGGGAGCCCTGGCCCATGGGAAGAAGGGAGCTGTTCCACGTAGAGGGAAAATGTAATGGTGTCTGTGCGAGTGTATCCAACCGGGTTCTGGCTTTGGCTCTGAAATGGGTCGAGCTCTCACAGTGGGAAGTTGCCATTGACTCCATTGGGACCAGGTCCAATTTAGTGTCCCTGCAAGCAGCAAACAGTGTCTCACGAATTTGTAACTGTGACTCAGATGCTCCCTTTTCGATGTCATTTGTGGCTTCATGAGCGTTTCCCACAGCTGGGTCTGAGCCTCCCAAGCCTCCAGACTCGCTTTGCTGGCGGGAGAAATCTGCCCCCTGCATTTCCTCTCATCCGGTTCTTTCTCCCCCTCTAGGAAAAAGCTTCACCTTGACGATCACGGTGTTCACCAACCCCACGCAGGTCGCTACCTACCCCAGAGCCATTAAAGTGACGGTAGACGGACCCCGGGAACCAAGAAGTAAGTGACGCGCTTTGTCTGGAAGCAGAGCGAGCCAGAGAGTGTGGGTGGAGCATCACCACAGCTGTGTGTGTGACAGACGCATCGGGGCCAGTGCACAGCCCTGTCCGGTGGCTGCCGTGCAGGTTGGCAGGGAGCACGGGCCTTCTGGTCGCATGGAAGTGCCTGGTGCTTGCACAGGGCGGGCGTGTCACACGTGCACCGTGGGAGAGCGTGCACAGGGGTTCTGAGATGGGGAACGTGGAGCGCACACTGTAACCGTGTCGCTCTGCAGCCCTGTGTTCTTACGCAGTTGTGCTGTTGATGGAATTGGCGGGACGTGTCCCTTGTGGCCCTGGGGAGGCAGGCCGATGCTGTCTGCTTAAGAAACAACCACGGGCTCAAATCCTGAGCAGTGCAGAGCACCTGCCCGCCTCACTGAAGCTAATGGCGCCCAGTCTGGCTTAGGAGCTGGGCCCTTTGGAAACAAGCCCGTTTCTTTACGTGATTTGCCTAGATTGCCTAGATTCCTTTACCAGGCCCCTTTCCTTTCCATGGTGCGTTTCCTTTTGGCGTTTCTCTGCACCAAACCCACTGGCCCTTTCTGGGGCGGAGTTGGCTCCCCTCTCGGGTTCCGCATGGCGGCGGCGGGCGCGCTTCGTAGGCGTCGTTCTGATCCATGTCAATTGTGAGCACAGCGGAGAGGAGGGCCTCTCGCTGCTGCCACCCACGTGTGACCTGAACCAAGCTGGTTTGGCCCTTTGTAGCTTTGCATTGAATTGGGGAACATTGGGACAGTCTCTGGATTAACGAGGGGGAAGAATTCTCCCAGCATGATGCTGGATTGGTACATTCCTTCCCCGCGGGGTACGCAGTGCTACCCTCACGCTTATTCATTTATTTGCAGTAGCACCAAAGTGTCCCAGTCTTGGGCCATGAGTGCGAGGTGATGTATGCAAAGACAATGCATGGGGGGTCACCTGGTGTCACATGCCCCCCCCCATTTGTTACTTGTCTTGTACTGAGCATGCTCATATGGTCTGCTGAAGCCACTGCACTCACACGGGGATGGGCAGGGGGCCAGGGTCGTCTGTGGCTGCATTACATGAGTATTGGGAGTGAGCCCCCACCCGTTTGCTCGCATCACTTCCCTTGTTTTCAAATCACCCCCTTCCTGCTCCTTTCACTGCCAGGGGCTGCCCGGCCTGGAAGGGAAACGCTAGCCCAGCCTCACATTCCTTCCCCGAGGTTTCCCCCGAGCTCCCCGCATGGACTAGAAGGCAGAGCTTGTTCTCCTTGGCGGTGCACTTGGCGGTGTCCAGGCTGACGGAACATTCTGACCCTGCTAAATGTGCTTCAGAAAATATTTTCTGCTGATGCTGTGGCCAGATGCACCCTGGCCTGCGTCTGGCCCGGGGGAGTAACAAGCGTCCGAGTGCAGCGGCCTGGCTTGGCCTGGGTTGTGTGGGGTTTCTTTGGTGGGCTGCGTAGGATTCTGGACAAGAGCACAGGGGTTTTGAATCTCCTCCTCGGGGCTGGCTTGATGTGGTTGTGTGTGTTTGAAGTGGTCAGAGTCCAGGTAACGAGGGTTTTTTAAGCGACGATGATTTTTTTTCCTGGTGCAGGAGCGCGCTCAGTAAAATTGTGGCCTTAGTGCATCTGAGCATGTGCACGAGTAACCCCCATGCCTGTGCACTCCTCCCTCCATCTAGGAGCCAGGCCTCCTGCCGGCCACTTCTGGGGCACAGCACCGTCTGCGGTGCCAGGACAGGCAGGGAGCTGCTCCTCCCCCCCCCACTGCTCACCTGATCCCCCTGCAGTGAGACCCAGTGCCCAGTCCTGGGTTGCTTGAAAGCCCTGGCCCTAGGCCATGCTGCCTCCAATCAAAGCCTTTGTAGTTCATCTTCTGGCGATTTGCTTTGCTTTGATTGACCTCTCCAATAATCAGCACTTGCCGATGGGCAACCGGATCCGTTTCCACCTCCCCTTTGCATTTCAACATGCTCCTCCCAGGCTGGGTTACTCGGTTCCAGCCAGAGGCAGGTTCTCTCTTGTTTAGTTTGTGTGCGCACTGCGCTAGAACCCTGCGCAGAGAGAGCATTGGGGTCTGGAAAAGTGAGCCCCGGATTTCCTCGCCGCAGGATCTGCAGGGCTCTGTGCATTGCTGCAAAAGTCCTGGCTTGTTCTCCTCCTCCTGCTCCACGGAGGTAGCGTCTGGTGGGTCGGATTCTGGACTGAGCCTCAGGAATTCTTAGTTCTAGTCTTGCTCTTGTTTCTGTGTAACCGGGGCAAGTCACGCCACCTCTTTCTGCCTCAGTTTCCCCCTCTCTAGAATGGGGATAATGACACCGGCCTCCTCTGTGAAGCACTTTGAGCTGTATCGACGAGAGCTTAATATTCTTGTTGTTAGTAATCCTCCTGCGTCTGGCCATTAACTGATTACAGGAAGGGAAGCCGCAGTCTCCCCCACCTGCCCATCTGCAGCATTGTGTAGTTGGCAGGAAGCTTTGTGTCTTGCAGCGCCAGGCGTCGGCCAGTGCTAGAGGCAGGGATACAGGTCTGGAGGGCCATGGCCAGGCAGGTATGGCAAGAAAGCCCTTTGTAGTACTAAAGGAATCAGCCGCTTGTATCAGGACCATGAGAAATCCCAGCTGGGAAGAGGCCCCCTGCAAATATTGCCGTTGAGTTTTTAAACCAGAAATAGACCCGGTCTCCTGTAGCCGATACTGTCACCAGCCTGCAGGAAAGTGTGTGGGGCACTCGGAGGCCACCCAGATAGGCTGGAATTGAGATTCCATCTCCAATCTCCACCTCTTTTGAACATAGAACGTCCATAGAACTTGGTCTGGGTTTTCCTCTTGGCACTGCTGTCCTGAGGCATTTCCTTCCACTCCAGGGGTGCTCAGATCCCAACCCGTTTTAGGGAGAGGGGCTTGGAATCCGGATCCGGGGCTGTTCTTAGAGCTGCATTCCGTCAGCCCAAACCCCACCGTCAGCCACTTGTGTGGGAGGTTGAAATCTGGCCTGTGGGGGGACGTTGCAGCTGAGTCGAGGTATTTACATCTGCTCTTTTCCTGTTTAAATCCTGCAAGCACAAAACCATCAGGGCAACACATTCATCAAGGCTCTTGGGTTCAAAGGGACCTTCATCTAGTCCTTCATTTGGCACCCACTACAAAAGCAGACACTGTAGTCACCGAGCTAACGACTTGCACCCAGGAAGATGGGCTGGGCCATTCGCTCATTTGAGCCTGCTGTTTTGGAGGGGTTTGAAAGAGGCCATTCAGCAAGTGGGATGGGAGCTCTCCCAGCATGCATCCTCTCAGAAACGCCAGCCACTGCATGGTATGCACCGGGAAAATGCCTGGGTTGTTTTCTTTTTCGTTTACCATGAGTGTTCTTCTTGCATTAAAACTGGTGGGTTAGATCGGAAAAAAGAACATTTTTTCAAGCTGACACCTTAAGTCCTAAACAAATTGCACTTTAAGTGTCAATTGTTGACATATTCGTACAAACAGGAAGTAATAAATATATATGAACTTCCTGTGGAATTTCCTTTTTTTCCCCTTCGCAGCTCTTTATTTAGAGAGCTCAGCTTAGATGAACTGCAGCTCTTGAGCAGAACTTTGCGTATGCACAGTTACGAGCACCAGAGCATGAAATACAGGGTGAGCCTCTCTAGTCCATCTGACCAGCGCCAAACCAGAGAATTTGCCCAACTGTGAGAGGTCCGTATTGTCAAGCAGCATTGCCAATTCTGCCTCTGCTCGCTGGGCTGTTAGAAGACATTGGGGGGAAATTAGAGCTAACAGCACAGAGCCCTGAGAGCCAGCACTAGTGGCTGTAAACAAACTTTGTGGGACTGTGGAAAACTTGGCCACATCCATGCTAAGTGGAACATCCGGCTCACTCAAATCAGCCAGACACCAGATGTTGCTGGACCGGAGGGTGCCGGACTGGAGAGGTTCAACCTGTATCAATCTGAAACTGTTCAGTGACATCACATTCAGCTCTGAAATAAGTTGGTACATTTACCACTGACCATACTGTTAACTGTATCTACTCAAATCAGTGCTGAATTTGTCCCCTAATATTGTCCTTATGACAATCACTTTGATATCTTTTAGGGAGTGGAGATAGAGAGTGATGGCGAAGGTGTAAAAGCCTAGACACATGTTAGAATAGATAAGGAGAGAGGCCATGACTTGTTTAATTTATCCTGCAAAGCAGGAGCTGACGCTCGAAGTACGGAAGCTGCCGTTACTCTGTATTTTGCAAGTGAATGTCTGAAATTGACTAGGGCAGTTCCTCATTCTTTGTGAGCCGTTCATGGCTCTGTTTAACTGGCCTGGGAACGATTTCAGGCTGGGGAAAATGTCACCATCTCGTACCCTTGTGTCATGAAGAGTCATGACTAGGCAAAGAAATAAAATGTCTACTTTAGATTTTTTTTTATTCTTCCTCCCGCCCCCTCCCCGCCCGAAAATGTCATGTTTAGGGAAAGCCCTCCCGCCTGGCCAGGGCGCGAGAGCCCACGTGTCGCTGACGGCCTGGTGACTGTTTGGGACCAGCTGAGACATTCGATATATTTTTACTCTTGTAAAATGTCATCAGACTCCCCAGCCGCCTCCCAAACGCTCTCCGAGGGGAGGGGCCGGCCGCATTCAGAACCGTTCGCAAGTGAAGCTGGAACAAATTCCTCCCGAAAGCCGGGAGCTGAGCTCACTTCTGAACAACCAAAACCCTCCCTCACCTGGCAAAGCTCCCTTCCGTATCCACTGCCAGTTCCCCCTCCCCCCTCCCAGCTGTTAAACATCTGTAGGTTAGCGCTCCGAGAGGCAAGCAACATGGCTCCTTGGGGCTGGGGACGTGCCAAGGCCTCGTGAATGAGCGTTTGAGTTTTCCCTTTGGGGCACTGTAGAAGATTAAGCCCTGCCCTTTCCGTATGGTCTTGTAGTAGGAGCCGCTGGCCCTCCAGAGCCGATTCACACTTCAGCTATCGCCCTGAATTACGTGACACA